AAGCAACCACTAAAAGATAAAGTTTTAGTACAAATTGATTGCAGTATCAAGTTTTGATAACTCATTTAATGGTTGAACCCTTCTCTACTTTAAGAACTTTATCGCATAAACATATCTGAGGTCTTGTCAGACATCTTGTGAGGTAAGTTGAAGCACAGTGTATTTAAAATGTGAGCAGCGATTCTGATTCACAATTTGGCTGAGGCAAGTTCAAGTTTTTACATGCGATACAAGCAAAAGATTCTTTTCTGTAATGATAAAAGAACTCCCTGTTCACAACAATTTATTGCTCCAATTTTTTTGAACTCCATGAAAATCACAACAATTTGTTAGAAGCTTTTTGAAGAAAAAGTTGGATTATTTATGGTTTTTTTCTCAAGACGAGTGTCGACGTCTAAACAAGCAGTTTTTTACGGATTCCTTAAAGCAGTCTAAGCAATGTTGATATCCAAGTCTAATAACTATTAAAAACTAAAAAGAAGCTTTCATCTGTGGCTACTTTTGCAAAAAAAGTAGGGCTTTGAGTTTGAGCTTTGAGACTACATTGACGAATTTTGTTATAAATCGAGATAACGAACGCGCAACACTTTTTGTCCTATTACTTGGTCCCATATATTTTGTCAGCAGTAAATTCAACCAATGCATTAGGCCGTTTGTTCTGTAACACAAGCGTATAACACTGGACTTAAGCATGTGGTTTTTGAAAAAAGGTTTTAATTAAATTCGAGTGATTTTTGTTCCGACTTTCGATACGAAAGTAACGGAATATTTGTGCTCGGGGTGGGTTTTTTTTTCTTCAGACAAATTTCGACTTTTTAACTAGCCATTTTTGACGGAATCTTTTTACATCATTCAAAAGGTATTGTTGTCTTGAGCTTAAATTTGAAAAGATATTTCACCTGTGATCATTTTTGTAAAGTTATGAGGGTTTAAAGATTGCCATTTTGGCCATTTTGACCAATTTGGGACAATTAACACGCGATAAAATTCGCGCTATTAACGCGTAAGCGGAGATTTAATCCGTCTTATAAATCGTTCCAAATTGGTTGAAAGAAGCTTATTTGCCGTAATTGATTTGTTACAAGGAACCAAATCTCTCTTTTTGTACTTTATTTGGCGTGTGGGGGGATGATTTTCATAAAAAATTTCAAATTTTAGAAAAAAAAATTTCGTTTTTTTTTATTCCATTTAATTTTTTTATGTTATTACTGCTGCTCCATAAACCTTAAAGGCAGTCGGAACATTCAGGGCTTCGCCCTGATACGAGCAGTCTTGTTTGTTTTTCAAAATTTTTCTTAGTGTTTTTGCTTGAACTTGGAGGGCAGTCCAAACCTTCAAGGCTTTGCCCTGATAGTAGCTGCCTTGTTTCTTGTGCTACGGAAAACTATTGTGCGTAATCTTGCAAAACCTGTGTTACATAAATAAATTTATTGGAAATCATTAAATGGCTGACTGCGACCTAAAATAGAGACAAGGGAATTCTAAACGGATACGCGGCATAACTCATGAAAAGTTAATTTCATTTGTGTGTAGATAACCTTGATTTTTACATTTTTCCAAAAACTAAGCAAGGATCTAACAAAACATTTTTATTTGATGTACTTTGAATATTGTATCTAAATATACTTATACTTTTTTTCTTTCTGAGTCTTATGAGGCCAAACTGTGCTCTGGATAAGCGCGTTATTTAGTGTGTGTAGATTTCTGGAAGCCATAGACAAGTCTTTAAAAGTGTCGAATTTTATGTGCCGATCAAAGGAAACGTGAGATCTTTGAAAGATCAAAGAGAGCGGTCTTATAGCAGAATCCGTTTACAACTCCCAAAACAAACAGTTTGGCCTCGTAAAAAAATATGAAAAAAAAAATAGAGTTGAGCAGCCTTTAACTGTTTATCAGTTTTAAAAAAACAGGAAGTAAGCGCAATCAAGATAAAATGTGTAACAAAGATATCAATATCTTGTAATTGACAGGCTCGTTTTCACGGCACTGAAATGACAATGACATTGAAATGATCAAATTTTTTTTTTCGAAAACTTAAATGGCACTGAAATGATCAGCGGCACTGAAATTATCATTATCATTTTTTTGAAAGTCAAAAACTGGACATTATCAGGTCATTTCATTTGATTCACAATGGCAGATGAATTTAAATAATGGGAGGTTTATTTTTTTCTCTCTCTCGGGTTCACGAAATTTCTTGTTGCTTCAAGATCTAAGTTTTTGATGTGTATATACGTTTTTTTAAATAGGCATTGTCGCAACATCAGTCTAAAAAAACTTCGGAAGGATATAAATAGCAAACACTACCTCTTTCCGTTTTCAAAAATTTGCAAGTTTGAACTCAAAACCATGAAATGTTAAATTTTTTTGACTGTTTTGATTCTTCATTAAAATCCAAGACTTAGTCATAAACCACTGTCTTCTCTTATCCAAAACTATAACTTTTGTTTTATTTCCGTGTGTTATTGTTAACTGATCTCCCTTATGCCTACGCTAAATTTTCGATTAACGTTTTTTTTGAGAGACGCAACAACCTGTGATCATAGCACGAATACTTGTTGCTCTAAGAGCAAAGGTAAGTTGTTTTTACTTGTGATTATTTTCGTGAAGTTTGGGTGTTTGGCTAATTTGGATAGGAAACGCGTTATAAATTACCTTCTTATAACACGCGTTAGTGGCGGATTAAATCGCTCCGAACTGAACTCAGGCAAGTCATAAGTCATTGGGTCAAATTATTAGGATACGAGACACTCCTTTGTACTATATTTTTTAAAATTCGCATTAAATTGTAGCCGTAACGTTTAGGGCTTCACTATGACATACGAGCAGACTTGTTTTCTTGTAGGATTGTCGACAGTTTTCTTTCTTGCATGCATACCATATTTTCAAAGCCGAGACAAAATTTTTCACAACAATGCATCTCTGCGCTCCTGAAAATTGTTCGAAAAAAGGACAGTTCGACAGACTTTCGAAAAAAGGACAGAAAATTCAGCTCAAGCTGGTTTTTCAAGATATTTTTCGACTTCTTAACTAACTATTCATCATTTTTGGCACACAAATTTTATTACCCCAGAATGATATCAGTGTGCAACGCTTAAAACTGAAAAAAAAAATAGCCAGCCAGTTTTTGTTCTCAAGTAATGGGGAATTGAAATCGGCTACTTCGCTTACTATAATTCTAATCAGGTAAATTCACACGCGATATAATTCATGCCAATCAAACGTATGCTCCTATTTAAATCATTTCAATTTCCACATCCGAACTTAATACACAACTAAACACAACTGAAACCAGTTTATACTTTACATGGCATTTAAATAAAAAAATTCATAATGCAATTTTTTTTTTTTTTTGCATTTTTTTATTTTGTTTTAAGCTAAAAACCTTCTCATGAACCTAAAACTACAATTGGAAAAATAAAACTTCCTCCCGATACGAGTACTCTTGTTTAGTTTTCAAATTTCTCTCATATTGTCAGCGAGTTTTATTTTTTACTGTTGTGTAAATATTCAGTAACCTCAGTCACCTCTCTCTGAAAAATTATAAATTATGTACTTTTTTCTCTGCAATAGCACGGCATGTCAAATCAGGCATAAATTTTATTCCGTTTAGTGTCTATTTCTTGTGTCAAAGTTTTTTTTTGAGTCTGTTGGAACGTTTTTTTTTCAAGATTTTGACGATTTTACAATATGGTTTATATATTTAAAGATAAGATGCTCGTGCAAACTTTTTTTTGAATTTAAGAGAAGCTAGAATCGCTTCATCACAGCTAAAAATATATGACACCAAAAAAATGGACAAAAATTGTAGCTCGTCCGAGTTTTTTTACCTGTTTTTGCACAGACCAATTCACGAAGACTAAATTCGTCAACAAAAAGCTGACCTCCAACTATAATTTAACAATTTTGAAAATCAATTAGGCATTTTCATTTTTAACTCTTGCGGTTTTCTTCTAATTCAGTGACTCACAGTAAAAAGAACAGTAAAAAAACGTTGTCAAATCCCTTGACCCTTTGTCCTATTCTTTGTTTTGTTTTTTTTTCAGTACATCAAAGCAAGCGGCTTGTTTTTCAAACATTTTCATCTAAAATAGAGTCTTTTAAAAATTGCCGACTTGGGTTGAATTGGCTTCTCAATATGGGTTGATCGTATACAAAAAAAGAAGAGGCTAGATCTTGCTTCTGAAATTTTAACAAAATTATTATGGTGCACTTTTTTTTCGCAATTGTCGGGCCAAAATATCAAACCCAAAAACAATATTTTTGGCTTTTTTAGTCAATTATAGGGTTCGTCAAAACTATTGTTTTAAATATTCAGATCCGAACTTGGCACAACTTTATTTCCACTGAAAAAAATGTGCACCACTTCATTTCTGCTGAAAATCTAAACAAGTTCTCATAATTTTGCCTGAAATCAACGCAATTCGAGAATAACACGTTTTATTTTTCAAGTTGTATTCATACTTTCCGGGTATTTAAAAAAGCACTGTAGGCAGGCAGCCGAAAAAAAGCTTGCCGTATTGTTTGCTAAAAAAGCTTTGAGCATTTTTAAACGCTGTCTCATTTTTCGGTATTATTTTATTAAACCCATCTTAGGTGAAACTATATGATCAACAAGCCGAATACTCTAATTTACTAAAAAAAAAGTTCAAAAATGTAGGAACAATTTTTTTGCGAAAATCGGTTTCAAATTTTTATCGCAAAAAAAAACGTTTTTGGCTTTTTTAGTCAATTAAAAATTAAGCCGAAGCTATTGGTTAAATTAACGACTTAAATCGGTCAAATTCACGAATTTTGTATGTAGCTCAATACACGATAACAAAAACATTTTAGTAACACATGATTTATTTAAAAACAAGTATATTTTAAAAAATACTTTAATTGACTAAATAAGCAAGAGCAGAACTTATTTGCAGATCAGAATTAATATATACTTTACTGATAGTCTGCATTATGGTACGCCCCTCTATTTGAGTTTATTTCAAACGAAATGACCTTAAGCGAGTTGCGAGTTGAAATCACTGACTAAACACAAACTAGAGGTATACGATCTGATTCTGAAGTCAACTTCAATCAAGTAACCATTTCTTGAAGGAACTTATTTTGAGCTGATAGCACATATTGAGCAAAATGAGAGGTGGAATTATCATTGTCTGTTTGGCAGTTTATGTGCAGTATGGGTTGGGTGAAAATAATGGACTTGGGTTGACTCCAGTCATGGGTTTCATGAACTGGGAAAGGTTCAGGTATGACTCATCTCTTTACCCGGGTTGGCCAAAACTTCAATATCGCACACTTTTATATATGAAAATCCACAATTTTTTAACAAGTTCATACGTACAGAAACTTGAAGAAAACATAAATTCTCAACAAGGAATAGATCTTGATAAAAAAATTAAATCAAATTTTTAGCCCAAAACAAGTTTTTTCCGGCAAGTTTTTTTTCGATGCCTGCATGATTCAGACTGCTAATAAATAAATTACAAGTAAAACTGCTATCAGAACAAAGCTCACTTCATCAACTTGCTTTGTGAATGATTCACACTTCCATTTTGGTTTAAAAAATAGCGCAACTTCAGTTCCTCGAAGGTTTCTTCTGGCTACCTAAAATTCTTGGAAGTATTCAGTCAGAGTACCCTGGGTTGACCTCCATACACTGAATATGCTTATCATACAATTCATACATCAAGTGTGGAAAAATGCATGTCATACATTTTTCATACAATTTTTAAAAATATTTGAAAAAAGATATAAACTTATTTCTGTGGCTGATTGATTCTAATAAAACAGTCTGGTGATAAAAAACCGAGGTTTTCGTTTTTTAAAAAAAAATGCTTATCATACAATTCCCATTTATGGAAACTGTATGACTGCCCTTTTTTTGATGGCGACACAAAAAATTCTCAAGTAATTTTGAAATAACCCAAAATTTTTTTTCAACTGCAAATCGAATTTTGTACGCAAACAAACATTTTCCAAAAAAAAATTTTTTGCATGCAAAATTCAATTTTTTGTGGTGTGCATAACGTAGTCCTGGATACAGTAATGTTGGTTTTTTTCCTTTATCCTTTTTTTCCTGTATAATTTTTTTTCAAAAACGCTGAAAACTCCTATTTCTTTTTTATGGCATGTTTATGTATGCCTTGATCAATGTCTGTTAATTTGAAAACCTAAATTTTTTTTTTAAATCATCTTTGAAAAATTTTGCCAAATTTCAAAAGTTTGTTACTTTCGTTATATCATTTGTGAAAAACAGCGTAAAGACAATTCAGGTCGTTTTCTATGCATTGCGTGCGTAAGACCGTCCAACTTTTGATGCCTTGAGTAAACCAAGGTCTTTGTCTTGTCACTTGTGCTAAATTACAAACACAATCCAAAATTTTTCAGAAAATAGACTTAGAAACAAGACATCAACTTTTTGGTTTGTGGAAAAACACCTATCATACAATTTCTATAAATGGAAAAATGCTTATCATAGAGTTTTCATACAATTTTCTGCACGTATGGAATTGTATGAAATTGTATGACAAGAAGTTTCTCATATATGGAATTTGTATGATAAAAAGTTTTGGTCAACCCGTGACAATAAAAACTTTTGAAGAAAATTCCGGTGTCGAACAAAATCATTCTCGTGTCTTGATAAGGAAATGAGTTTTTTTGGTGGTAGTTTGTCTGTCTATAACATTAAAAGCGACATTTCAAGCTTTTACTTATTATTTGGTGATATATTACAATAGGTGGTAATTTTGAGCATAGTGCATGTATTAAATTTGAGAACTATAAAGCATAATATAGTCATTTCATTTTCAATCACTTGTACTAAGACTAAGATAGTTTTTCTAAATACATTACTCTGCCAAATGAAATGCTATTCAAAATTTCACATTTTACGCATCTTTTGCCTAAATACTTGGCTTTGAAATAGTTTTTAAATAATGTGCGAAGTGTAACAAAAAGCGATGTAGCTATTGAAACTGATCCTACCACCTATTGTAATATATCACCCATTATTTATTAAAAATTATTGACAACAAGCAAACTGTTTTTTTGTTTGGAGGTAATCGGGAAGAAAGGACTTTTTTTGTTTCAAAATGAGCAGTCAAATAAAAATTGAAATAAAAAGGAAAAAAAATTAGTCATATTTTTTAAATTAGGTGCCAAACAGACTGTGTTAATTTTCCTGATGAGTGTGTGAACGAAGAGCTGTTTATGACGATGGCTGATGCTATGGTCACTTTCGGCTTGAAGGACGCCGGGTACAAGTATCTCTCAATAGACGACTGTTGGCTGATGAAAAACAGAAGTGCGGATGGTCAGCTGGTCGCTGATACGAATCGCTTTCCGAGTGGAATGAAGGCACTGGCTGATTACATGCATAAACGGGGGCTGAAGTTGGGTAATTATTTTTTTTGTAAAAGGAAAATTTGGAAATAAATGTGAAAATTTATCATTCGAACTTGAGACGGCTAATTACAGTACTCGTGCAAATTATGTTAGTCCTTCAAGATTTTGCAGGTTTTTTGATTGAACTTTTACGGTTATAAACAGTTTTCAAAACTTTGTCAAACTTTTTGATGTTTTTTATTTAAATCAGTTTTCGTTTGATTGAATCCAGCCAAAAAAATTTTTGCATCAAAGTAGAAGAATACAATTGTTTTGTATATGAGCGACTTCAAAATGCTAAAAAATAGGAATATGAAAAGAAACCGTCGGCTGATCCAGGGTTTTAACGAAGGGCGTTTTGGTTAAAAAGACCCAGAAAACTTTGTCGTCTTTTCTTAGGTCGACAGCAATGATTTCTTGAATTCTTCCCATAAACACTAAAAGACTTTAACTTGATGTAAAGTGGAATGCACAGATAGAATTCGCCCTTTTGCCCGACCTTCCTATCAAAATGCGTATATATTGGCACCAAAATGGAACGTTATCGAGCTTCTATATCATAGAGCAGTTTCTGATTAAGCGCACCGTCTGATTGCCGGTTCGTGCAACTTCTTAATCCAATACCACTTTTTTCCCTCGGGCTCAAAATATCTCTAAAAAATACTGGGAATGCGAAGTTATTGTCAGTTCAGCTTTATTCTAATTCGCATAACATTGGTCTGACTAATGAAACTAGTCATTGTTAACAATAAAGTACTTGAGGGTTAGTTATAAAACGTGATAGGTTAGTAATAATTACTTCACAATCAGACGAAAATCAAAAATATCAGTATAAATAAAATCTGAACGGGTTACAAAAGGCACATCAGCAAATTTTAAGGCTGGTTGGTGAGAAATGATTTGCGTGAAAGAGTGTACCAAATAAGGAACCTTCGGATCATGAGAAGGTCGAATCAAAAGCCAATCCTTAAATCCGCCCTGGTTACAACTAATCACAGATGGTATACCACGAGTAATTTCAGTTGTTAACGTTTAATATCGTATTATTATAATGGTAACTTTCACTCGCAGGTATTTACGAGGATGTCGGATCCTCAACATGTGCTGGCTACCCAGGAAGCGAAGGGTATGAACAAGTTGACGCACAAACGTTCGCCTCTTGGGACCTGGACATGCTCAAGTTCGACGGGTGCAACATTGAATTAGAAGACGCCCCCGCTGGCTACAAGAAGATGGGAAAATCTCTAATTGAAACCGGAAGAGATATTTTGTACATATGTGAGTGGCCAGATTATGACCAGAATGCCAGTTATGCAGAAGTGGCCATGACGTGTAATCAGTTCAGAAACTACCATGACGTGGACGACAGCTGGGATAGCGTGTTCGATATTATAAACCACTACGCCGCTAATCAGGTAGAAAATCGGAAACGTTTTTTTTTTCAGAAAAACACCCCCTCCCCTCTTTGTTACTCACTTTTTGATAAACTAGATTGCAAAATCACATATTATCAGATGCACTTGTTTAAAAAATGAAAATTGTCAAAATAATTAGGCTGCCACAATTTTTTTTCAACTTTAAGAGAAAAGAGAACTAACTTTGTGCTTAAGTTTTTTTCGCTGTTCCTATTTTTCAATTTCAGTTTGTTCATACTCATAAAGAGATAATCGAAAAAGGCTTCACGCTTTCAAGTTTGTAGGATTCTTAGGGTATAGTTACTTCCTAAGAAACGAAGTACAGAGAGTCCGAAAAAATGATAATTTTAATAATGATATAATATAACAATGATTTTGAAATTATATTTATTTTAGATTTCGATTTTCCCAAAAGTTGCCTAGCTGAAAAATAAAGTGTTACATATGATATTGATCAAGGCGATTTGTATCCTTAAGCCTGCCGATTTAAAAAAAATGCAGACCACAACCTCTTTTCCATCTGTAATTCGAAAACACCATCTGTAGTTCGATCTGTACTGCCGATAAGTTCTTCTTTGGAATATTTTCATATCAATCTTTTGTTTGGCTAACTGAATTTTCAGCGGTACATTTAAACTCGAAGTAGGAGACTAAAAAAACCCTGTGAAAATTAACATATGTGATTTTAGGAGAAATTTTCCAACTACAGTGGACCTGGACATTTCCTAGACCCCGACCAACTAATTGTGGGAAACCCTGGAACCTCGTTTGGCCAACAGAAGATCCAGATGTCCATGTGGTGTATGTGGAGTGCCCCTCTGCTCGTATCTTCCGACCTCCGGTCCATAGACGATGCATCACTTAGTCTCTTACTCAATCGATACCTGATCCGAATAAATCAGGATCCTCTAGGGTTAATGGCTACACGAGTCATCACTGAATCGAATAACGAAACTCAAGTTTGGCTCAAAGTTCTTGGCGATGATTCATTTGGAAAGTACGCAATCTGCAATTTTCACGCCAAATCTGACGATCAAACAGTTCTGTTGGGGTATTCTCTAAAGACACTCGGAGTTCATGAGCCTCCAAAAGGTGTAGGATTTAGTTTAACAGATGCGTTCACTGGGAAAAGGTTGAGTTTTGGTCCCATACTTTGGCAAACCCAGATTAGCGTATATGTTCCAGCGTTTGATGCGATTGTTTGGATTGTGCGGTTTGAAGATATTCAAGGCGCTGCATCACCCGAAAAAGTAGTTATTAGGAATGCCTAATTAGTTAGAAGAAGACTATGCTAAGAAGATTAACTAAATTAAATAGATAAACTAGATGAACTCTTTGAATTCACAAAAGTTTGACGGTGATTGACAATGAAAAAAAAACAAGTTAGCTGTTTTGAACCAAAACTCTGTATTTTCCGACAGAGCCGAAATATTAGATTGCCTCCATATTTTAAAAAGCTATGAAGCCGAATTGGAAGCCGATTATTTATCAAGAATAGAAGTCATTACTCACTTTAGCAGCTTTTTCCGCCTTTTCATTTCCAAAAATAAGGCAGGTAAAAAGACGTTTGATTGTGAAATTAGGATGCCAAACTTAGTATATATTTTTTGTGTAAAACTACCAACTTGAAGTTCAAAAATGGTCTCAATTTCATTGCTTCTCAGATTTAAAAGACTTTATTTTTTGGGAGCCCTAAATGAAAGTGAAAATAGGTTTTTTGAACAAGAAAAATGCAAGTAATTATTTTTAGTCCTTCAAGAAAACTTAACTGCAAAAAGAACGTAGAAACTACTGAGTTCAAAATTTTCACCCCTTTTTGCCCTTTTTATCCACAACTTTCAGACCAAACTTAAAACAAAAACTTAAGACGGTCTTGAACACTTTGTAGGTATTAGTTCTTATAGAAAAAATAATTAATTTTGTAATAACATATCTGATTTTTTGGGAAAAACTGTTTAATTATGAGCAATTGTGTTTTATTTTGTTTTTATTTGAGACTCCCGTTTTTGCAATTTTTTGGTCAATTTTTACTCAATGCATCTACACGCCTTGTCTCTTCAAACTCGAAACTAATTTAAAATTTTTTTTTCATTACATACAAAAACTGTCAGTTGATGCTTGATAGTTGATCAAATGATACGCGAAACCTCTTTTTTTTCTCCTAATTGACAGTTCAGAAACAATTTACTGTCAAAAATGAGTCGGTGCTTAACAAAAAAGGCTAGTCAGGAAACTGAACTGATTTTTGATGAAGAATTTAAGCCTATTACAACAACTGATAAAAAAGACAGCCTTCAAAGAACATGGAAAATGGCACCTCAAAATACAACATTAACATATTGGAAAGGTTATTTTAAATTAATTTTAAAAAGGTTATTTTAAGAAAAGGGTTGAAAGGAGGTTATAAAGTGGTGTACGCTTAATAAATATTTAACAGCAGATGGATCCATTGGATCAAAGAAGTTAACTGTTTTTTTTTATCTCCGCTTAACGAGATACCTGAAAACTGGCCGTGCTGGCTTAATGGTGTTCTCCCATACAATTCAGATTTTTGTTTGAGCATTTTTATAAATATTTTATTAACTAGATATCGTTTGGAAACAATTTCTTGTTATTTTGATTACTAAACAAAACGATCTAGGCAAGCGCCAGTTTAGATTCAGGCGCTTTGTAGAACTCGTTCCAGAAAAAGCCAGGAATTGTTGCTGGTGTGCGCCTAATCTCCGTAAATCAAAAATATGAAGTCGAATATTTGAATTTAACGAGAGAATTTATCGGCAAATTTCTCGTCCTTTCGGTCGGGTATAACTTCAATACTAACTTCAATAATAATCAATAACATCATATTTTCAATACTATTCGTCACCGCTTCAATGACAAATTAGCGCAAGCTAGCTACAAGAACCGGTCGGTAATGTCCTTGAGACAAATTGCTCTTTTTAGCGGTCAGCCTTAATCAAGGCTGAACCAAATTAGAATCAACAAAACAGTTAAAATAGGAAATAACCCCCTTTTTTAGTATATTAATACATGGGCAGGTGGGGGAATCGAACCTAGGTCAACTGTTATGTCACACATATAATCGGCTTTAGCTTAGGCCACTCGGCCAACTGTGCTTATGGTTGTTACATTTTGGTTCAACTTTGTATGCATTTATACTCTCGCACATTTACATTTGCGCTGCAACATCCTCCACCCCTAAACAAGGAAGAACGGGAGCGAGCTTTACGGTCGGGCGGGTCAGTTTGCTCGTAACGGTCTTTATGTCGGCGGATCTCGCGCATCCGTCCTTGCCATAGTGCAGTCTTAGGATACGTGCGAGTGGATAATGTCCACGTGGAGTGTCAGGCTCTATGACCCAAACCAAGTCGCCGGCTTTCAACTTAACGTCTGACTGGTTGTGCCACTTTGCCCTCCTATTGAGGGAAGGAACGTATTCCCGCATCCACCGTGTCCATATTGCGTTAGCGTATGATTGCGCTCTGGCGAAACGCTTCTTCTGGTCGAAGTTTTCTTCAAAACTTAAGGACGGAAAACTCGCTGCGTGTTGACCAAGGATAAAATGATTCGGGGTCAGCGCCTCTAGATCTAGCGGATCGGAACTAACGGCTGTTATCGGTCTAGCGTTGAGTGATTGCTCAACAAGGCACAGCGTGGTTCTTAGCACCTCATCAGTTACTCTTCTGTTGCCTAAGATGTCATACAAAACGCGCTTGACACTCCGAACTAATCGCTCCTAGGAGCCACCATGATGCGGTGCGCTGGGTGGATTGAATTTCCACTTGATCCCTTTATGAACAAAAACAGCGGGTGCGAGCTTGTTCCAACACTCAACGCAAGCTAAGAGCTCTTTCTGAGCGCCAACAAAGTTTGTGCCGTTGTCGGACATAATGATAGTCGGAGTACCGCGACGTGCAATAAACCTCTCTACGCCCATCACACAAGAGCTTGTGTCGAGCGAGGGGACCACTTCAATATGCACCGCTCTAGTGGTGAGACAGGTGAACAAAAAACACCACCTCTTTTCCGTACTTCTCCGGATTGGAACTAGGAACGGCCCAAAGTAGTCGACACCTGTGTTAGTGAAAGGAGGTTGCTTGTAACCCGGCCTTTCAATGGGCAGATCAGCCATAATACGAGTTACTGTTTGCGCTTTGCGTTTTCGGCACACGACGCAAGTATTTTCAATGTTTCGCAGCAACCATCGCAAATTTAACACGACGTACTTCAAATTAACCACCGCACGCATGTAATCTAAGCCTTGATGGAAATTCCTAACGTGCAAATGCTGAACCAATAACCGAACAACTGCGTGACGTGCATCAAGTATAATCGGATGCTTGCTATCGAAATCGGAATTAACCAAGCGGCTGATGCGCCCAGTCGAGCGAAGGATGCCAGCTGGTCCAATGAACGGCGAATACTTGGCGATCCGACTATTCCTTGTGATAACTTTACCGGATCTTAGTAGTTTTAGCTCACTAGGGAATGTCTCACCCTGGGACAGGTGAATGAGCTTCTGTTCAGCAATATCCATTTCAGACGGGTCTGTAATTTCTAATATACTCGACCGGAAATGTTTATGGGAGACAGCCATCTTAACAAAAATGCTACTGCGCGTTTGTATTTTAAAATTGAATTGAATCTCTCCCATTTTCCGAAAGGAAGATTTTTTTCTGTCAAAACATCGACGACGAAATTTGACGAATTTTCCAGACAAATGTCGATATCACATGATGGTCCTTTGAGTCTTATTTTATCAGTAACCCTTGTATCGGGCTTGAACGGCCAATCAGTTGTTCTCAATATACTAGGGCCATTAACCCAGCTGCTTTCTTGAGGGCTTCCGAAGAAATCCCTCGTAGACCGGTATCAGCTGGGTTATCACCGCTAAGTATGTGATGCCACTGATCAGTGGTGGTAGACTCCAAAATCTCACCAGTGCGATTACCAACAAAAACGGGTAGTTTACTACAAGAGTGAAGCCACTGGAGAACAGTGGTACTATCTGTCCACATGAAAATATCCGTAACTTTGAAAGTGAGACCCTTCAAAATTTCTTCTTTTAAGCGGGTTGCAAGAAGAGCCGCTTGAAGCTCTAACTTTGGAATAGAAAGCGCTTTCATAGGCGCGACGCGGGCTTTGCCAAACACAAAGGCTAATTCAGTCTGATGAGAGCTAACAAGTCGCGCACGAAGGAAAGCGACAGCACAGAAAACATCCTGCGAACTATCACCGAACATGTGAAGTTCTATTCGGTCGAAAGGGTCAGTGAAATAGCTGCGAGGTATTTTCAGAGAACCTAACGAATGAAGACCTGAGTGCCACTCAAAGAATTGCTTTTTGATTTCCTCTGGCAGATCATCGTCCCATTTTTGACCGCTGATTCGCCAAATATCTTTTAATAGAAGGCGAGCCTTCACGGTATACGGAGCCACTAACCCAATTGGATCAAAAACAGAGGAAACAAAACTCAACACGGTACGCTGAGTGATTGCTTTGTCTAGTGGACGATCAACCCCTCTACTAACGACTAAGGTATCTTTTACGTGATCCCACTTGAGACCGAGAACATGCGACGACTGGTCTGGACTCGCACAAATATCTTTAACAGAGGAATTGGACTCACGGTTGTCCGGATCAAGAGCGGTTGTTACGTCGGGCACGTTGCTGACAAATTTTGTCAGATGAAACCCACCTAGTTTAAGCAACGAGACTAAATCCCTACCTAATTTCAAGGCTTCATCCCTGTTTTGAAAAGAATCCAGATAATCATCCATATAAAACTTCTGGACAACAGCCGAAGCAGCTTCGGAGTACTCAGCTTGATTATCCGATGCAGTCTTCTGCAAAGCAAAATTCGCACAAGTCGGCGAGTCACGAGCACCAAAAATGTGACGCGTATATTGGTGAACTACCACACTTGATGTGGGGTCCTCCCGCCACAAAAAACGAAGAGAAGGTTGATCTTCTTCACGGACTCCAACCTGTAAAAACATCCCTTCAATGTCAGCTGAAACGGCGTATTTATGCTGACGGAATCTTAAAAGTACAAAAATGAGGTTTTGAAGGAGATCCGGGCCAACCAACAGAGATTTGTTCAAGGGAGCGCCATGACACTTTGATGCCCCATTGAGGACTCGGCGCACCTTACCGGGTTTATTCGGGTTCAACACCGGGTGATGCGGGAGATACCACTCACGATCGGTTCGTGATTTGGGATCGTGTGCCTTAACGGTTATGACATATCCTTTTTGTATATCTTCTCTTATCGTTTCGGCATATTTTCCACGGAGCGACGGATCCTTATCTAGCCTCTTTTCCAAAGACTTTAATTGAGCTAAGGAGGAAAAATAGTTATTCGGTAAAGTACTTTCCTTATCGTTCCAAAGCATTGGTA